CTTCAGAAGTAACACAGAATAATTCACACAATCGAGAAAAAAAAAGAATAATTATCGGATTTGAATCGGCTCTCTCTGACCGATACCCGATCCAAGAAAAATTGCAGTATCGGAGCCGATATCCGATATGAATATCGGATCGGCACATCCTTAGTAACAGAATAAGTGATGTAAATTCAAAAATGAGGCAAATCCAAATTCTGCTGTAAAGCAGCTCTAACAAGACAATAGTGTGTTTATTCAGCTCCAGTCACGTCAGTGTTGGTTCAGTTCAGTAACTGTGTAAAGTTCATTCATTATGAAACGAGTTCAATTTGGCTATAAGCAGCTCTACTGAAGACAGTAGTGTTGTTGTTCAGCTGGAGTCAGTTCAATGTTTTCCCCAAATCGTGCGGCCCTAGATTGATGGATCTGATCTGATCTCACCCATTGTAGAGATCAAAAGCACTTTACTGGATCAGGTGAAATCTTTCCAGAAGGGTTTCCCGTTGTTGTGAGGGGACACAAAACCAACACCAAAACATTTGATTCAACACATCGTAGTGGTCAACGACACCCATCTAGTGCACGTTTGCGTAGTAAAACGGCTTGGGTGAAAACAAAACATGTTTAGTGTGAAAAGCTGTTTAATAACTTTGACTAGTGATGCACCGATCTTGAATTTTCATAGCCTGTTTCAATTTTATTTTACAAGCAAATTAGCAGATTCCGATACTGATTGCTGATTTAGTTAATTAGTATTAGGGCAGGACTGAATATAAATATAAGTACATGAACAAGATGTTTGTTTATTACAGTCCTACCTATCTGTGACTATTTAAAAACAATGTGAATTCACTCTCTGACAGCAGGTGGCGCTTATAGAACAGCAGAAATAGAGCTGTTTCCCCCAGTTACCTCTGTAAATAAAGCAGCGCTGTCAAATTAGCAGATTCCGATACTGATTGCTGATTTAGTTAATTAGTATTAGGGCAGGACTGAATATAAATATAAGTACATGAACAAGATGTTTGTTTATTACAGTCCTACCTATCTGTGACTATTTAAAAAAAATGTGAATTCACTCTCTGACAGCAGGTGGCGCTTATAGAACAGCAGAAATAGAGCTGTTTCCCCCAGTTACCTCTGTAAATAAAGCAGCGCTGTGCTTATAAACACTACTTTAATATGCATTATACGGAGGCAAGATGAAAAGAAAATATCATCTGAACTGTTCTGAAGACAGTCAGTTCTCCTCAGAGATACATTCATATAAACCCCCAAACCTAATTCAGTGTTTAGGATTTTATTCCTATATTTTGTGTATCGGGAACTAGGGCTGTGTATCACCAGCAAAGTCACAATACGATACATATCACGAAACAGAGGCCACGATACAGGACTGCACTGAATTTCACCTCAGCAGAATTTAGTAAAACAGCTGTTTATTAAACACTGCCAATAGTTAGAAATGGCACTATACTATGCAGAGCAGACAGTTGACCTCTGCATTATGAAGGGCCTCCATAACTGTACCACAGTACAATATAGGTAATGGCATATGTTTCATGGGGCACTCCCATGAAATGGCACTCCCCACCAGGTACAATATTCAGATTGTTTGCATCTTGTTTTTAAGCCCATAAATAATAATGTAGGTCTACTCGTTCTAATAAATGTATATTATAATGTACTCATACTAATATATTTTAAAAATCATCTTTACATTGTTGGTATGTTATCATTGCACAAATTAACACAAGTTCTACATTAGAACTCTTCTAATTTTATTATAAATTTTTTTTAAACTAATGCGCTGTCTTCACTGTATCTCACGCACACACGATTTTAGTCACTCACACAGATCAGTTGCGCGTGCGCACAGAAATTCAGCAACAAACTTTTTAGCGCTGCCCCACAATTTTATCAATAAAATAGTTTAATCGCTCAAGAGCTACAATATCTTTCTCAACAAGGAGCTGGTAACATCATCGTTTCTAAACGAATTAAAGCCACAGTTTCACTGTTAATAGAGAAACGCGGCAAAACGGTGGTAATTCATACATACACAGCCTCTCTCTCTCTCATGTAAATAAACACTTGATGAATTACACTTTTCTGAGAATAGAATATTGAAGTGGCGATCGCTAAACTGCAAGCTTACCGGTGTCTTCAGAAAGCAAGCGCGTTTATCCTCAGTGGAGAGAGAGCGTGTGCACATGGTTGCCAGGTTGACAAAGATAAGTAGCACGCTTAGAGCTTCCCACTTGCGCAATACGGAAATATCTGCTGTTTCGGGGATTACGTCTCTTTATATCAGGCAACCCCGGTTGTGTTCCTCTGTGGCCAGATTAAACCTGGCCTATATATTATGCTCTGTTCATTATTTTTTAGAAACCTCGCACTTTTCTACTCCATTTTAAACGGTGCTCTCGTATTCAAATTAAGCGCTGTCCACTGCTGCACAATTAAGCATGGTCCACTATATCGATACAGGGCCAGCTGTATCGATACTCATATCGTCAAATCTCTGTGACGATACATCGACGTATCAAACACAGCACTATCGGGAACAGTGATCTTGCTCTGACTGGTGCAGTATTTTCTCATTGCATCTGTCTTCAGTGTTTCTGGCCTCTGTTAACAGCAGTTTATAGACTTTGCAATCATTTTCCAAAATGTAATTTGTGTGGCAATATTATAATGTTTTTTGTGTACAAGTCTAGAACAGAGATCGGCTGAAATAAAAAAAAAATTTAAATTTTAAAAACTCCTGCCCAATGTACGTTTGGAGCAAAAACCATCCAGAAAGTTTATCTTGTATATTGTTCTGCTTGTCTCTATAAATGTACACCAGCCTCGATTTGCTCTCTGTGTCCTGATAACTGCTTTGCTGAATGAGAAACTACTCCAAATTTTTCTTTCTGAACAAGTCCAGCTGAATGTCAAATCGAATCAGATCATTTTGCGAATCTGTTTTGCCAATTCACTGGGATAAATAATATGCAAAATGCTCTAAATTATTAATGAATGGCATTGCTAGTTCTGATTTTAAACAGCTGTCCAAAATACGGGACGGGATGTTATAATTAGTGAAGTTCTCAGGTGAAGTGTGTGTGTCAGGGCAGTTGGAGCGCTTATGGTATACACTGCACGCACAGCTGCAGATGCCACTGCTGAGGCAGGATGCATGTTCTCACGCTCGTTCACCATGACCTGCAGTGCATTATGGGCTTTCATTTGCTCTTATCAAGATCAGATTCATGGGTTTTAAGCCAAACTTTGCCTCTTCAACTTTTATTAGCTCCTTAGATTAAATAACCAAGATAACAGCTATGCTTGTAAATGTTGAGTATTTAAAGTGCGTTTAAGATATGTGGCATCTATATAAAACATTAAATATTTGGCTGGTTTATGGAGAACGGCTGCACATCTGTGTGTGTGTGTTTCAGGGACCCATGTGTGATCTGCTGTGGTCAGACCCTGATGATCGCGGTGGCTGGGGAATCTCTCCACGTGGAGCTGGTTACACGTTTGGACAGGACATTTCTGAGACCTTCAACCACGCTAACGGCCTCACGCTGGTGTCCCGCGCTCATCAGCTGGTCATGGAGGTAGGATCCACACTCTGCACAAACCTTCAGTGGGATGAAGATAATCAGATCAAATAAAACTACTGTACTTTTTTTTTTTTTTTTCCCCCAGGGATACAACTGGTGTCATGATAGGAACGTTGTCACTATCTTCAGTGCGCCAAACTACTGCTATCGCTGTGGCAACCAGGCAGCCATTATGGAACTGGACGATACTCTTAAATATTCATTGTAAGTTGTGGTTCTCATGATAATCTTTCAAATATGTACTATCATATAAAGTGTGATTTCAACAACATGTCTGAATTATATTTCAGTTGGTTCACTTCAAGAATAAAAATTAAGCCTATTTCTAAGACTATAATGGTTTTGTATCTTTTTGGCATTGCTTCAAAATTATGACTGTTAACCCCAACATATTTTACAGGAAGATTCTTATTGCTGCAATGCAAACAGTCTTTAATTTTAAAGTGAAGTGTGTAATTGCCATCAAAATTCCACTCATGGGAGTGTTCAGAAAACCTTTTGCAAGTGTTTTTTCATAGCACCAATGTTGGACTTACAAATGCCTCACTGCATATTAGGGCTGAATCGATTATTCGACGACGTCGACAATATAAAAAATTAAAAAAATTGTAGACAAATAATTTTGTTGTCGAATAGACATTTGATCTCATATGATGTAAGAGCTTGCAATAACGGGGTTTGACTAGTGTGGCACTGTAGCGCAAGACTGTAATGCAGCTCTCCTGGAAGAAATCAGGAGAAGACTGACTCCGCAGCCAAACCTGACGCTGCTGAAAGCAGTTTAAATGCATGTAAATATGTGCTGCGTGCTTTCCTCACAATAACGAAATAAACATACAACAAAAATGAGAGCGGTGAGAAAACAGCAGTTAAGAAAGCATCTGTTCATAGCGATGTGATTAAGTTTGCACCAGCTCTGCAATCGGCTCTACAGTCACATCACGTTTATTTATATAGTGCTTCATACAATAGATTGATTTAAAGCATGCAGCTTTACAGTATTATACAAGAAAAAAAACTCACGGTGTCAGTCTCCCTTTCAGTTAGAATTACAGCTTGATTTTCTGCTATAAAGCCAGCTGTCCAGTGTGGAACTAGCTAATGATAGAATCTTTTTATTAATGAATGCAAAAATAAATTAATTTAATGCAAACCAAACTATCACTTTAATGTAATAATTTTTTCATTTGTATTTATTTAAGATTGATCTAGCTCAGGACTGTTTTGATTTTAAGGTGTTTTAAGAGCTTTTTATGCTGTGAATAAAATGTATCAAAAATAAAATGTCTTAGCACATCAATCAGTCAATTACTTCCGCATATAGTTAATTAATTGGTGAATGAGGAAGTCTCTGTCATCTCATTTTGTGCCAAATATATTCTTATTTGTATTGTAAAAACAAATAATTGTAATTGTACAACAGTAATATAATTGTTTGACATTCACTTCAAAGCTGAAGGGGTTACCTTGTTTTATTTATTAGTTAGAATATGTGTAACTCAGTAATTTAATTAATTGTACAAGCAGATTGTATAATAGAACAAGGCCTACTGATTAATTGGTGGAATAATCGACGATTAATCGATTATCAAAATCGTTTGTTGCAGCCATATTGCGTATTAAACCTGTATAGTTGGCAGTAAAAAAAAACTAATGACAGTCACCATTAAGAACAGTGGGAATTTTAAAAAAAACAATGAGAACTGAGGGGTAAAATTTGCTTAATTGCCATTAAAATGTCACGGTGCAAAAAATGTGAATAGTCCTAAAATGATGCTTCATTGTCATGCCTTCTGCAAAATAAATTTTCTTTCTTACTGAGGTTTTGTTTGAAGTGAAAGTAATTTGAACAGTGAGCTGTGCGTTTAAACTGCTTTTCTTCTTTTCCCCAGCCTTCAGTTTGATCCAGCTCCTCGACGTGGAGAACCTCACGTCACCCGCCGCACCCCTGACTACTTCCTATAAGCGAGCACTGGCCTGCCATGAAAGAGCTCTGAAGCAAGTGCAAAATGATGACAAATCTAAACGTCTATATATCTATTCATCCAATGTGTATATAAAATGGGAAAAATGTTCTGACACTGCAACACTAACACGGACCAAAATGTGCCATACAAGCATTTAATGCCTAAATCCAATCGCTTTGTCTCAGTACTGCTACAAAGTGTCTCGTTTTAGCCTATAGTGCAAATTGCCTGCTGTATACAATAAATAGAGATGTTCCCTTCGTTCTTCAATTGTAAATTACTCTCGAGTAAAAAAAAAAAAAAGTGACTAGCTTTCTCTCACAGTATCACTGGATTAAAAAAAAGTCCTTTGAGTTGGCAATGCCAGGCATGTGAAAAACGGTAACATTTTATACAAGTGCACAAGCTAACATCCTTTCCTGTATCTTCACCAAAAAAAATTTTAAAAATCCTATTGGGAAGGAATGTTGAAACCGAAGGATGTTTCTCTTCCATTTTGGGAGTGTATACACAAGTGTATATGGACTTTATCTGACTGTCCCTCTTTGTCTGATCTTACCATTTTCTTTTCTTTTGTGTTACCGGTCTTCTGTATTTGTCAATAAGTGATAGCCTCTTGTATTTGAACTAATAAACTACTTTTAATCGCAAGCTACTCCAAAGCTACATACTAGTTGTGCTTTTATTTGAAATTGATAGTTAATGTTATCCATAATGAAATAATGCTGTCAAGGTGAAACAGGATATATCAGCAGCCACAAATAATGTGGATTTGCATTTTATTTTTGTATTTTCCATTAAGAATTGACTGGGTCATAAAATAGTACAGATAATTGTTCTAGCTTTGACTGGTTAGCATAGTCCTCTGCATTCTCTTCATTGAAAGACTCCTCAATATCTGTGTATTCTGATACAAAACAATTCATTACTTTGTAGTTAGTTTTACCAGTGACTGATTCGTTGGTTTGGGGAGCTCTTTTGAGGTTTTGTTCTAGATGAGTAACTGCCATTGTTGCTAATTTCAAATTGCCTTTATGTAGTGCTTTATACAATACAGATTGTGGGAATGGATTTTAATTATAGAAATGTGACTATTATGTGTATGCCAGGTTAAAGAGATGGGTCTTTAATCTAGATTTAAACTGGCAGAGTGTCTGCCTCTCGAACAACACTAGGTAGATTGTTCCAGAGTTTCTGCACTAAATAGGAAAAGTATCTGCCGCCCACAGTTGATTTTGATATTCTAGATATTATCAAATGGCCAGAGTTTTGAGATTGCAGCGGACGTGAAGTACTATAATGTGATAAGAGCTCACTCAAGTACTGAGGAGCTGAACCATTCAGGGCTTTATAAGTAATTAGCAAGATGTTAAAATGTATACAATGTTCAATCGGGAGCCAGTGCAGCGTTGACAGAACCGGGCTAATATGGTCATACTTCCTGGTTCTAGTAAGAATTCTAGCTGCTGCATTTTGGACCAGCTGGAGTTTGTTTATTAAGCGTGCAGAGCAACCACCCAATAAAGCATTACAATAATCTAACCATGAATTAAAGTTTCTGCATTTGACACTGAGAGCATAGGTCATAATTATATATTTTTTAAAGATATTTTTAAGATGGAAAAACATCCCAATGGGGACACTCTTCAATTCTAGCATTATAAACTTATTGCCATTACATTTACATGAATGTTAACCAGCATTACTGTGAGAATAATAGACAAGGAGTGAAGAACTGACAAGACTGCAGCACATACAACAGCAGACATTAGTTGTTTTAGAGGTGGGGCAAATTATTACATTTTGGTGAAATATATCAATGAAAAACATGTTTCTTTAGAATAACATAACCTGATGAATCATTGACTCCGAGACCAGGGAAAAGTTTTATGAATTTTAAATTGAATTTATTTTGGGGTCAGTAAGATTTTTTTTTTAAATTTGAAACAATCTCTTCTGTTCACCAACAGTGCATTTATTAGATGAAAAATTGTTGCGTTTGGTCTCGTACTGTATCACATACCTTGTCAGTGTCGCAGCAGACATTAGTTGTTTTAGAGGTGGGGCAAATTATTACATTTTGGTGAAATATATCAATGAAAAACATGTTTCTTTAGAATAACATAACCTGATGAATCATTGACTCCGAGACCAGGGAAAAGTTTTATGAATTTTAAATTGAATTTATTTTGGGGTCAGTAAGATTTTTTTTTAAAATTTGAAACAATCTCTTCTGTTCACCAACAGTGCATTTATTAGATGAAAAATTGTTGCGTTTGGTCTCGTACTGTATCACATACCTTGTCAGTGTCGTACGCTTGCTTAGCCCTTTGTTGTGATAAACGGTAAAGTGTGTTCAGCTGAATTAAATTTTCGTTTTGTCAAACGGGTATAAAAAAGGTTAGTACAACACGGCAGCCAGCTACAAGCTACTCGTAAATTAAAGTAGTTAAGCTACATTCAAGCTACCCTTTTGAAAAAGTAGCTAGCTACACTACAAGTTGCTGTCAAAAGTAGCTAGCTACATTGAAACTACTTTCACATTTGTATTATTCTTTTTTTAAATGAACATTACAAATAACTAAATAATTATTAATGAAGAATTATAATGAAGTTATAAGTAAAATATAATAAAGTTATAAGTAAAAAAGAGTAGGGTGAATTCAGGTGGATTGGGACACTTTTCCAAGCCATTTCAATGACAAAAAGTGTCCCAATCATTTGATTTTGTAAACTATTCGATACACATAATAATAAAATACTGGATAGTTAAATAGTTATTTTAGTTATATTAGTATATTGCTACAAACGCAACACCAATGTATGAAACAAAATGTATGCAACTTAAACGATACAGAGGAGTCATAAAATAAGCAGGTTAAACTCACAGCACGCGGTATTTACTGACTGTGAATGGAGACGTCGATCATCAGCTGCGCGCGTGAATCCCACCACAACCATCCTTTTGCCAAATGATAAGCACACTATATCACGATTTTATTTTCTGTTCGATTAGTGTTCATTACAAAACTGTGGGGGGACAGATTATATTATGACCGTTCATCATTGTAAAATAGACATTTGATTTAGAGTACAATAAAGAAAAATGTGTCAGTTTAAAAAGGCTATTATTCACCTCTTGTATGTGCTTTAAGTCTTTGACGTAGACCGCATTTTAATCTTTTTTTTTTGCGTAAATTACAGTTGATTCATGTGAAATATCCACTCCTGTACATCCTTTGCAGTATCAGCAGACGATCTCTTGTCGGTGGAAAGACTGTAAAGTCGCGCGATATCACAACAGATGGCGGTAATGAACAAATTTAGTTTGTTATCTAGTCAGATGAAGATGCTGTGCTGCTTCAGTGCATTACAGGCTCATGATTCGTCAGAAGGCACAACGGAATGTAGCGTTTGGTCGCGCTACATCGCTACTTGCTGGAAAAAGTAGTTAGCTACAGGAAAAGCTATACTGTTTACACTATACTGTGTAAAATTAGCATTGCTACTGTAAAGCTACTGAAAAATGTAGATCCCACACAAAGAGGCACAAAATCACTTTGTAGCGTCTGGACTAGGGCTGCACGATAAATCGCATGCGATATTTAACGCGGTAAATCTCCATCACGTGCGTGCTTTCACATTGAGCAGCATTAACTACACAGAGCCTTTGTTCACTGACGAGCTGCGCAAAACCACGTTCATATTCGTGCGATTTTTTGCGCAGCTCATCAGTGAACAACGGCTCTGTGTAGTTAATGCTGCTCAATGTGAAAGCACGCACGTGATGGAGATTTACCGCTGATTACAGAACCGGCTTTCTGGCAAGATGCGCATTAAATATCGCATGCGATTTATCGTGCAGCCCTAGTCTGGACCAATCAGACACCATTGATTTTTTGATTTAACAAATCAATTATTCATTAGATTAACAAACATTCACAGACCCCTCACCCAATAAACATACTGGATGTCTGAATGAGGCCCAGGACCCTGGATACCATGGCAACCATGACACCTTTGCTAGACTAGATAGACTTTACGACCTAATGGCATGTTGAGAGTTCTCCCTCTCACTACATTTTTTTTCCATAGGAAAGACACATAATGCACAGCAAAATGGACTCTTCTCTAATTAATTCATAGGAAAACCTTTCTGTGAATGAACACACATCTCCTCAGGACATTGTGTATACCATTACTGTTCTTGTGTATTGTCTGTTTTTTTATGAATTGTATACTGTTTTGTGTGTGTTATGATAGATCACTAGTTAATATAGGCCCACCGATACCATGTTTGGTCTCTTTGAATTTGTCTTCTGATGATCTAAATGAGGGTTTATATTATATGTGGGTACATGGGCAATATATTAGTGTTCTAAGAATCTTCAGTAATTTTGATTCGAGTTCCATATGCAAATTAACATGCTCTCACACAAAGGGTCATAAAACTCACCAGTATTCCCAACCTCCCACTTGGAAATTCAGCCTTTCTCATTGGACAAGCCCATCCTGAGAGGCGTGAATCTTCTCAGACCTTAAAAGGCTCACGCACAGTTCTGCCCAGGTTCTTGTTGTTCTTCTTCTGCTAAGAAGCGTGTTGGAGCCTGAGCCGGTGCGGGCGTGCCCGGCGGGCTCCAACACATAGCCAGTCAGCCTGCGGCTCTGTTAGATTCTGAGAAGATGAGGATGTGAGCTAGCACCCCTCTAAGGACACCCTAAGTCTGCGCCAGGCCTCGGGCCTTGATTTTCCATTCACCAAAGATCCTAGGATGTCAGCCGATGTCTCTCTTAGCTCTTTCCACTGGGAAGAAACTCCCAATCACCATCGAGTCAGAACATCTTTGGAGTTCATCACTCTTCAAACCCGGAAGAAGGTGATCGCGACTCCTGCACCACCGAACCTTCAAACCATCATCAAGACTTTCATCCGAGACTGCATCCATACGCTCGTTCCAGGCCAAGGCAATGCAAGTATCATACATTTAACTAAACGAAACAGAGGTTTAGTATAAGCTGTAGACCCCGTTCTAAAACGGCGCTGATGGTTTTTACTCAGGTGGTTAACTGACTCTTTTCATAGCTTCATTCTCTGGTTTTCCTGATGGTTTCATCCAAGTCTCATTTGCCCTTTCCCCTGTATGAGTGATTGTTTGTTTGTTAGACTAGTTTGTGTTAGTGTTTAGTTAATAAAACTATTGTGCAGAAATTACACGAGTTTCTGATTCTGCCTTGCAAATTAATTGTCCCTTTACGATTTTGAGCCTTACTACATGCTCTAATGCATTAATACTGTTGGAAAGTATTTTCTGTTGCCACGGAAATATTTCCGTGTTGATGTGAACTTACACTGAATGTTCACTGGACGAACAGATTGGTTGATTGCAATTTAATTCTGCTACAGTTACTACTGGCAGCTGATATAAATAATTGTAATTAA